TCTCATTGACATTGACTTTTGCTTTGGAGCTGTTTTTAAAGTATTTACATCTGTTCTTAAATACAGGAGTGAGTGAGTGAGTATGGTTTTACGCCGCTTTTAGCAATATTTCAGCAATTACACCGCGGGGGACACCAGAAATGGGCTTCACACATTGTACCCATATCGGGAATCGAACCCGGGTCTTTGGCGTGACGAGCGAACGCTTAACCACTAGGCTACCCGACCGCCCCCTTAAATACAGGAAAGTTATTTTCACATGTTACCATCACGGCGTCCACATTTTTCCACTACCTGAGTAATGGGATTAGGAATTTCGGACATTCGACTATTTATTTTCTGGGAAGTGCTGGCTAAAACGACTGTTTGGAGCAAAACATAAACTGTAAGAAAACTGTTTGACGTACATAAAAAAAATCGTCGTTAAGTGTTTCAATCTATGTTTGTAGTGACTGATGACTGAGGGTGTCTTTAAAACAATCATCAGGCTTGTTCCTGGAATATCTGACGTGGTATGGACGGACCCCCACATCCCCCATACACCCCACGTACACACCAAGCATCACACTCACACACACACATGCACACGCACACACACACTCACTCACTCACACACAAACCCAAAAACCCACTCACACACTCACGCGCGCGCGCACACACACACACACACACACACACACACACACACACACACACACACACACACACACACACACACACACGCACACACTCACTCACTCACACACAAACCCAAAAACCCACTCACACACTCACGCGCACACACACACACACTCACTCACACACAAACACAAAACCCCACTCACAAACACACACTCACGCGCACACACAAACATTAACACACGCTCTCACACATCCACCCCAGGCCCCCCCCCCCCCCCCCCCCCCCACACACACACACACACACAAACTCTCTCATGTTTAAATTGATTATATGTTTTCAATAAGTTTGATGTTCAAGGCCAAAAATACAATTTAAATGTATTTTTATTACTGCTCGCCCATGATGTAAAAGTGCAACTGTAAATAGTAGCATTGTCGAATTCAATCAATGACACCATTATATTTGACACGCTACTTGTATATTGAAACGTGTTACATTAAATATAGTTGCCAATCAGGAAGTTTTAGATCTATTTCCGAATACTAGCTGTTCCATATGCGTTTGTGTATTGTTAACATCACCCAGACGGAATGAAATTGGCAACACGTGCCGGCGATATTTTGATAGGCATATGACATGAAATTGAATCTGAGTTGACATGACACTGTATCAGCGTTGACATGACATTACAAGGTCACTCAAATATGAACTCCATCACTGCTAACTCAAAGTGGTCATTGTGAGTTGCTGTTAATCCGTACTGAAGATGTCTTCGTAAAAGGGCCCGGATTAATAAATGTTTGGATTTAGGAATCATTATGTATTGGTTTTCTCTGCAACGTCGCCCGGATTGCAAGGTTTCCGGACTAACGGGGGTCTCGCTGTTATAGCAGTTAATTATTGCCTTAATTTCACAAAGGCAATACATACGGGGCACCTACGTTCGTTCAAAACGCAAGTCGTATGTCTTCTACGTTAAGCGCGTTGATGCAGTCATCATTAGACCTATCAATGTGCCAAGTTTGGTGAAGAAATATTGTACGGTTTTCAAGAACGGAGCACTACAGCCATTTTCAGTCTAAGTCAAAGTCGTTGCCATGGAAACTCGAAGATTGAGTGAGTGAGTGAGTTGGGTTTAACGCCGCTTTTAACAATATTCCAGTTATATCGCGGCGTGTCAGCTTAATGTGGGAGGAAAGCCCGAAGTGATGCAGGTCTCAGACGTTTACCATTTTGTTGAAACCCACGAGCACGGGTATGGTGCTGACAAACCTAGAAACAATCGGGGCGAACCGGGATTCGAACCCACAATCATAGGTTTCTGGCGTGCCCAAGGGACGCAACTCAGCACGTAGAATTGCGGCGCCTTAGACGGATGAGCCAACCGCGCCCCTTAATATCTTGAGACCATCACGTCATTTATTATAGACCCCTATAAACGGCAGTTTCGAGTGTGTATAAAACTCGATCTTCCACCGTATTATATCCCAATACAATAGCATTTAGATATAATACTCTAGACAATCGAGGATAAACACATATCATAGCACCATTAGCATTTCGTGTGTTGCCAGCATCGTAAAGCTTAATTATAATGCATGTTTTGTTTGTGAATAGGTTATTTAAAACACACAAATCTATAGATATAAAAGTTTATTGCATAAAGGAACATACAGAATTGCACATTGATATAAACGTCGCTGATGAAATGTATGGTCCATATTTCTTTAACAGTTAAAACATTATTATTGTCAAAACACATGTGCCTAAACAATATCTTCACGTGACCTGTAGCATAATAACGGTGTGTTTCAGAACGTGACCGTTTGTCGAAAGAAGTTGAAAAGGTTTACTTTGTCACATTGATTCGTTTGGGGTCAAAAGTCTCCCATTATAAGATACCTAGTATTCAGTACTGTGATCTGCATAGGAGGTATCGTCCACGAGAAACAAGGAAAATCATCCTCGGTGTGCAGGGGAACATACTGATAGTGAGTATATACGTTCAGAAGCAGTATATATGTTTGATGATGATAAACGTGAAACCAACCCGCGTTATCCGCATATAAGTAATAAATCATATGTAATACCCAATACGACTGATAAATATAGGTTTATGTACTCAAGCAGTGTTCTATCATACCCCTATGTTCACGTAATTTCGGATCGTTAAGTTCTGCGTACACGCTGACTTACGTATGTACATGGTTACGGATGGTACGTACATGGGTACGGGTGGTACGTACATGGATGCGGATGGTACGTACATGGATACGGATGATGCGTCCATGGTACGAATGGTACGTCCATGGGACCGGATGATACATACTAGGTACGATTGTACGTACATGGGTACGGATGGTACGTACATTGGCACGGATGGTACATACATGGGTGCGGATGATACGTATATGGTACGAATGGTTCGTCCATGGGTACGGATGATGCGTGCATAGGTACGAATAGTACGTACATGGGTACGTTTGGTACGTACATGGGTATTAATGGTACGTGCATGGGTACGGATGGTACGTACATGGGTACGAATGGTACGTACATCGGTACGAGTGGTACTGATGGTACGTGCATGGGTACGGATGGTACGTACATGGGTATGAATGGTACGTACATCGGTATGAATCGTACGTACATCGGTATGAATCGTACGTACATCGGTACAAATGGTCCTGATGGTACTTGCATGGGTACGGATGGTACGTACATGGGTATGAATGATACGTGCATGGGTTCGGATGGTACGTACACTTGGGTAAAGTATGCAGGCTTTGAAACGCGATTGAACAGCTACACATTGCGTGGTGATTGTAACACATTGAGCCAAGTAAAGCGGGACAGCATCACATCTGCAACAGGTACAGCAAGATATTGATACTTAAAGGCAACTCCCGGGATGGAGCGGGCTATGAATCTCCCAGAACACAAAGTATTGCGTTCTTGGGAACATCTCGCCTTTAAATATATTTACTTCATCTGTTCAATAATAAAACAAACAAATAAACATGCTACAGAAAATAACATTTACCACATGTAGTATCAATGAAATGAAAATAAATCCTATGGAGCTGTGCTCAACTGGTTCTGAGTGTGATACCGTTGTTGTCATTGAACTCTATTAACTCTGATCTACTTCTGATTATTTTTTATTAATTTTGTTCCTGGATTGTATCTGAAAGTTCTTAATGCTCTTAATTATTATCCGGAAAAGAAATATAACAGTCAGCTGAAACTTCGACCTATGCATGATCTACATGAATAGAATTTTACTAACAACCGCATGGACGACGGACTTGCTTTAAACTATCTGCGCTTGACCTTTTTGTCCAGTTGAGCACAAAACCACAAGATGTCGTATGACATGAACACCCACCACCCTGTTGATGTGATTGGGCATATCGAGGCCATATGTACTGTATAAATATCACATCACTATAGAACAGACCTGGAACTTATGTTCGGACTCACCAGGCCCGTTAGTAGGCCCGGGACATTTGCGAGGCGTTTCCTCAATTAAATTAACCTCTGCGATATTTTCTTTAAAACGGCAAGGTTATGAATTAAACTGGGGGTGTATAATGGAATGTCGTAATGTGGATGTCTGCTTGTAGGTTTTGGTACTGATGGACTATCCTCGAAACGTGAAACGGCACTCCCCCCCCCCCCCCCCCCCCCCCCACACACACACACCCTCCCCAGTCCGCTCTACCTCCCCCCCCCCCCACCAACACCTCCACCCCCTCCACCAACCCACCCTACCAATAAGGCCGGAATTTTTTTATTTCGCTAAAGAATAAATACCCCTGCGTTAAACTCACTGCCAGCCTCTCGCTGGTATAAAAGATCCACATGTGAAGGTATGTGGGTGTTTTCATGGCGGACATATTTCCATAACTGACATTGTCAGACACGTTAAAGAGTGCTTCGTAAAACCTGGATCCGGGTTATGAAACAATTTCATTTGGCGCAAACTTTGTGTTTCGTTTAGCAAACACAATAACGAGAATATTCCGGTAGTTCAAGACGCATAAATGTTTGCATCCGGGAGAAAGTTCAGGAAAGACTGTTTCACAACCGTCTGTGTCACTGCAATGTCTGGCACCTGCTGTACTGCGCGTAGATACATGAGTGATTAGGCACCTGCTGTACTGCGCGTAGATACATGAGTGATTAGGCACCTGCTGTACTGCGCGTAGATACATGAGTTATTAGGTAACTGACACAATGCATTTGTTTATTAAGATTGGAGAGGTGTTCGTGTGGGGGATGTGTTTGTGTGTGTGGAGGGGGTGGGGGTGGTGGGGGGGGGTGGGGTGGGGGATGGGGGGGGGGGGGGGGGGGGGGGGGTGGTATATCCCTGGCCTATACAGACTGTCTTTGGAGGGAGGGGGCCAACCCGCACCTCTTGGCATCCGGCACACCACTATTTGTCTTGGCCTCCAATTTAAGAACTTTTGAGCCATATCAGTGTCCACAGCTGGTGCTAGTTAATTAGACGGGGATTTCCACACAAAATGCTTGACCATGCGTGCTCATAAGTTTACAGCTACGTATTTGATTGATTGGTCTCTTTTCGCACGAACTCAAGACGGAGGATATATATTTCAACATTGAAATATTGGCATCCTTGTACCAGATAAACATGTCATTGCAGCCACCCTACTGCTGCGAGGCTCTTTAAATCATGTGCGAATGGTTACGGCTAATACCCAATGAATATGGTTCCATTATGAAAATGGTTTCCATTTGAATTAAACACTAAGAATCCACACTAACGTACGTTACATTGTCAAAAGAAGAAAATATTAAACAACTGTATGAAAATTAAAAGAGGATCTCTGAAAGACACAGTGGGAAACTAATTCTGGCAAGTCTGGACCATGTCTGTAAAAACCTAGACATCATCAGTCCTCTGGCAAGTTCAAAGCTTCGCCTATGAAACTGAAATCCGAAAAGGAACATGGCGGCAGAATGTGTTCTCCTTCCGGTTTAACGAAGCTGCACAAACCGGAAGTCACATGACTCTCGTAAGCCGATTGAAGCTCCATTTTCTCTCGGCGGAGTTTGCGCAGTTCCATCTCTAGGTCTCGGTTCCGGGCCTGCTGCTTTTCCAGCTCCTGAAATTAGACACGTGACGTGAGTGAGTTGGGTTAAACGCCGCTTTTAATAGCATTCCAGTTATATCACGACGTGTCAGCTTAATGTGGGAGGAAAGCCCGAAGTGATGCAGGTCTCAGATGTTTACCACTTCGGTGAAACCCACGAGCACGGGTATGGTGCTGACAAACCTAGAAACATAATCGGGGCGAACCGGGATTCGAACCCACAATCATAGGTTTTTTTGCAGGGGGGCGGGGGGGTTCTTGGGTCTGTACAGGTACAGTACTCGAAATTTAGCCTGTTATCGGTTATAATTACCGGTTATTAAAATTGATCACAACTTGAAAGTAAAACGTTGTATTAAACAACTTATCCTGCGTTTTTCTTGATGTTCTACATTTCCGTACCAGTAAGACGAAGTTCTGACACATTTTCTTCTTCTGACGACATCGTTGAGCGGCTAATCTATTCTGTTCTCTTCGTCGTTGTTTCTTCTCTATTTCCTCTGGGGTCAACTGAAGGTGAATAGATTGTTTATTGTAAATCATTCAGTGCGTAAAACGAAACTGGAGGTCGAACAATATATACACACACAGAGCAAAGGAATGATGTTTGATGTCGTAGTCAGTAATATTACAGCTGTATCGCGACGGCAGTCTGTAAATGATAAAAACAATGATTCATAGCATGAGCACTGACTTAGTCAATCGGGAAATGATGCCATACTTGCGGCAAGCGTTGACTATGGGAACATATACTGAACCAAATTAAAAACTTCACAATCCTAAAATTTTAACTTTTTGACCAGTTATCATTGTGGGCCCTTATTGTGTATTTAAACAGTAATGGCCACGTATTGTCTTCAGATAACACCCGTTTTTGTGCAGGTGAATCGATCAAAATCATGTGCACAGCACTATAGTGGCAAAAGTGTTTTTTCACGTGCAAATGGTCACGTGGCCATAATACCGCACGTGTTTTCAGCCATACTTGTTAGCAGTCATTAAAAAAACAAAAAAACACAAGAAAACAAAAGTCTTTACGGCCATTTGTCATGCCACGCCTTTCAACTGTGAAACGTGAACGTGCCATCGGCATGTTGCAGACGGGAACGTCCGTAGCTGAAGTCGCAAGGACGATGGGTTGTAGTCGACGGACTGTTTATGATTTACAGACGCGTCTACAGCAAACGGGTACCACCGCTGATCGCCCTCGGCCATGTCGACCACGTGTGACGTCACATGCACTGCGCACTCTCCAGAACCAACCACAGAATTTGCAAGATCTTGGCACCATTTTGCAGCAACAATGGCGTCGTCTTCCCAATCATGTGTTCACAAGCATCACAAGGTCCATCCGGGGCGTTGTGTGGCAGTTGTCAACGCACATGGTGGCCATACACGCTACTGAACTTGTGTGCCATCAGATTCTCGTGCTTGGGATTTAAACTGTTGATGTTATTACCGAATACCGTAGGTGCTTGGAACAAATTATGGTTACCACCGTTAATTAAAATCCTTCTTTGGACATTAATGATTAAAAATGACCTTCTCTGATACATTTGTCCGTTTTATATCATATATGGGATTACTTTTAAAAATGTGAAGTTTTAATTTGACTCAGTATATTTTCGGCCCCAGAGTTCCACCTCTCCATCATCCCCAACCGATGGAGGCAAGGAGAATCTACTCTTCAAATATAACAAATGTTATATTTGGGACAACACTTTCTTGGTAAAGTACAGATCCTCGTACTTTTATTGGTTGAATCCCGTCCGGGAATCGAACCCATACCGCCAGAGTGAGGCACCTAATCGCCAGCACACAAAGTCAGCCATCTAAAACGTGCGCTGTGCCAATTTACATTTGTCAGAGGGGTACACAAAGTACGTGATCTTGACTGCCAGTTGTCGGACTTTCATTTTTTGTGGAAGCCTCGGTGGCTGAGTGGGTTAGATCGCTACCTTTGCGTCCTGGCGATTAGGTGCCTCAATCTGGCGGTGTGAGATCGAGTCCCGGACGGGACTCAACCCGAAAAAGTACGCGAATCTCTCTGACTAAGAAAGCGTTATCCCTACTATAACATTTGTTACGTTTGACCACTTTCTAAATGGCAATGTGTGTTCATACTCTTCAAATAGATGAATACCTCAAATTGTTTGGGGGTATGGTCCTCCTTGTCGATTTCAGCCTGTCCATTAGCATGCCGTTTTGTGAGGATCTGTAGCCGAAGTTCCTCCTTCAACAGCGGGGTCAGTCTCTGCGTTTCCGTTACCATAGCAACCGCTTTCCGCAGCCGCGGATCAGATATCCTACTTCCGTTTTGATGGTATTCGTCCATCCGGATATTTTCCGATCCAGAAATGCTTGTGTCCATGTTTCTACCAAAGGAAAGTAGAATTAAGCTGTGTAAATATGTCGTTGATAACGAATATCAAATGCGAAGATAATGCTTTGAGTGAGTGAGTGAGTGAGTGAGAGACTGAGTCAGTGAGTCAGTCATTGAACGGGTGGGCGTGTGAGTGAGTGAGTGTGTGAGTAAGTGTGTGTCCGTGTGACAGAGAGTGTGTATGTGTGTGAGAGAAAGAGTGTAAGTGTGTGTGTGAGAGAAAGAGAGTAAGAGTGTGTGTGTGTGTGAGAGAGAGAGAAAGAGTGAGAGTGTGTTTGTGTGTGCGAGAGAGCGTTTGTGTGAGTGATTGTGCGAGTGTGTGCGTGTGTGAATGGGTGTGTGTGTGTGTGAGAGAGAGAGAGAGAGAGAGGGGTGAAGAGTGTGTTTGTGTGTGCGAGAGAGCGTTTGTGTGAGTAATTGTGTGAGTAATTGTGTGAGTGTGTGTGTTTGAGAGAGAGAGAGAGAGGGGAGAGAAAGAGAGAGAGAGAGCGCGTGTGTGTGTGTGTGTGTGCGCGCGCGCGTGTGTGTGTGTGTGTGCGTGTATGTGTGAGTTGAACTAACACCGTTATGAACAGACTGTCAGTTATATCACCATAATTTGGAGTCTAGCTGTACGCGAGTGACCCTGTACAGCACTGTACCATAACGTGTGTACACAATGGCCTGAGGCCGACACGTGTTGAATAAATTACGACAATAAGCATTCCTGTGACGTAAATCTGGGTTTAGAACAAACAATCTCGATCAGGGCCCGGATGACGAACGCGAAGCGGCGTGGCATATCTACCTTATCCATTCCTTGATGTGTCTTCTACCAACTATCTACCCAAACCAATGTCATACTATCTAACCAAACCAATCTCATACTATCTACCCAAACCAATCTCACACTATCTACCCAAACCAATCTCACACTATCTACCCAAACCAATCTCACACAATCTACCTAAACCAATCTCACACTATGTACTCAAACCAATCTCACACGATCTAACGAAACCAATCGCACACTATGTACCAATCAAATCTCACACTATCTACTCTCGACCCGTGAAGATTCGGGGTAGAATAGGTCTTCAGCAACCCTTGCTTGCCGTAAAAGGCGACTATGCTTGTCGTAAAAGGCGACTAACGGGACCGGGTGGTCAGGCTCGCTGACTTGGTTGCAAGTCATCGATCCCAATTGCGTGGATCGATGCTCATGATGTTAATCACTGGATTGTCTGGTCCAGACTCGATTATTTACAGACCGCCGTCATATAGCTGGAATATTGCTGAGTGCGGCGTAAAACAACAAACCAACCAACCAATCTACCAAATAAAGCACCCGCATCCGCACCTGAGAACGGGATGGGTATAAGCTGCTAGGGTTGAGAACGGGATGGGTATAGGCCGCTGGTGCTGAGAATGGGATGGGTATAGGCTGCTAGAGCTGAGAAGGGGATGGGTATAGGCTGCTAGAGCTGAGAACGGGATGGGTATAGGCTGTTTGAGCTGAGAACGGGATGGGTATAGGCTGCTAGAGCTAAAAACGGGATGGGTATAAGCTGCTAGAGTTGAGAACGGGATGGGTATAGGCTGCTAGAGTTGAGAACGGGATGGGTATAAGCTGCTAGAGTTGAGAACGGGATGGGTATAGGCTGCTAGAGCTGAGAACGGGGTGGGTATAGGCTGCTAGAGCTGAGAACGGGATGGGTATAAGCTGCTAGAGTTGAGAATTGGGTGGGAATGGAATTGGGGTGACTCGTTTATTACTAGCTATGGGAAACTCCCCTCTCTGCAGGCGTTAAACTCTCATGTTAAGAACCCCACTCCTCATCCCCCATTTTCTGTCAGGCGGCCAGCGGGAATTAAGGGGACAATATGCGGGGCTTAAGCTCGTTGCGAATCAGGGGTGGTGGTTGTTTGTGATACAAGTTTGCGGCACGAGTGTTCCAAATCGTGCAAACACACTCAAGATAAAATCGATCTGGCGCAGAGAAAACAAACCATCACAAATCCGTGCCCTGCGACAGACTTTATTAAAAGGAAATCCTGATTGAGATAGGAAGTTTGCGTAGCCGGGTCCACAATTAAATATATCTTGATAACGAGTGTGCGAAGGAAGTAAAAGTATATTTAATACTGGCATTGTGCGAGCATCCTTCAGACAGTCTGCGGGGGGTGTCCCAGAAGGGCTGGCACCCTCATCTCGCTGCCTGTATGGTCAATTATCATCACTCTAGTTTTTAGTTTTGAAATTCATATATTACCATAATATTGAACCAAGTGACTATTGTTGATATCAATTACATATTTTAAAAAACTTATTATGCATTTAAAAGAGACATATTAATGAAAACATTATTTTATCAAAACATTTGGCCACGTGACGTTACAGTGAATAACGTGATTGCTTCATTGTCCTTTTTAAAATAGTGAATATTGTTTTTTACTTGGAAACTTCTAAAATACGCTTGGATTGAAACGTTAACGTTAATGTGTAATGCATAAATGTACGCATGCATAATTCCTTGGTAGTGAATGAGTGCTGTTGTATGCCGCGTGTTGCAGTGAACCAATCATATTGGAGCGGGGAAGGGGGTGGGTGGGTGGGGGGGGGGGGGTGTTTGTGGGTGGGGGGGGGGGGGGGGGTGCACCTAGGTCAGGTGCCTCTGTGGGTGTACCCATTATAACTACTAAAAACGAAGGGGGTAAAATGAGCCTACCTATAGAATAATGGACTACTCCAGTCGCCAATCTGTCCTCAGCCCATATATCCATGGACGATGTCTAAATGAGATCCTGTTTTTTTCAATGTATTATTTGTTCTCGTATTCATTATTTTCACAAACAGACAGTTTATCGCTTTTATTAAACCCATTTTGCTGACAAACCAGATTGACATTTGTAACTTGAAAAGAGGAAATTCATGAATAAATCAATAAATCAAAAGAATACTACATGGAATCGGTTTTTTTTCCTTTTCCCATTTTGACTACACTAACTCCGTAAGTAACCTCACTCTGAACAGGGGGTGGGTGGGAGGTGGGGGTGGGGTGGGGGGTGGGGGGGTGGGGGGTGGGTGGGGGGGGGGGGGTGGGGGGGGGGTAGGTAGTAATTAGCAGACAAGGGGCCATGAAGTAGGTGTGTTGAAACAGTAGTCCTAATGAGGGGAATCGAGACGAGAATTAGCCGGCGCTTTAACCATGCGCCACCCAACCGCGCGAATCACTGATACACTGACAGACAATCGTTCTCGCTTATAGTCGTGTGAGATGGGCTGCGTTGTTTTCTGGGGTTCTTGGGTTAATATACTATAATACTTAAATAAATACATTACTGGACAATGACTTTGAATTGAATAACAATTGTGATTGGAAAAAAAACACACCTAACTTTTCTGTCGTCCTACGTTGATTACATAATGACAATGAATATATTTAAGGAGGAGAATTTATGGATGTCAACTTCTTTATCATTAGGAACACAACGTTTCTGAGTATATGATTACTCCATTACTCCGAAACGTTTTGTTCCTAGTAATAAAGAAGTTGACATCCATAAATTCTCCTCCTCATGCGCATCACTTCTATATGCCTTTCAAAGACTTGAATGAAAATATGTTTTCGACATAAAAGTCACCTAAACAATATGCATACACTATTAAATAAAACATTAACAGATTAAACATAAAATGACACGATTTACTCTCAAACTGGCATGCACGAAGATGCAGACAATAAAAGTTGTTGCAGGTTGGCCCTACCTTTTCAATGATGAAATATACACGTGTAGGTTTCACTGTCAGTACGATACATCAAAGCGCGGAGCGCCGCTAGGAAGTAGGGAGAGTAGGCACGTGACGGCCACACTTCGCCTCCCCTGTCAACACTAGCGTACAACCGCTACAACAAGTTACAACCCGCCCGTTGTGGTGGACACACACCGCGCTCAACCATCAACAGGTGACAGACAAGCTCCACACACAGATCAATTTCACTTCAACACCCTCAATATCACTGAGCAGCGATCACCGCTTTTGGTGGTGTAATCGTTTCAACTAGCTATTGTGATGGTCTGTGTGGAAGTTTGCTGACAACACGTGCAGTTGCGTTGTTTGAGAAACGATTAGCGTTATTGACCATGGCGGGTAATTGCCATTTAATGAGCTGCACAGGTGATTTCACTTCGATGATACAAAGTTGATGAGTTACATACAAGACGTGCATCTCGGTATATGACATAACATAAGTTACCCTATGTTAAGCCTCTGTCAACCTTGGAACAACATCTGGCCAATTAATTATAACCGATACGCATTTTCACCGTTAGGATAAGCACATTGTTGTTTATTTAAACCTTCCAAGATTTTCGTTTACTAAAAGACACAGTCTGCGTCAATTTTATGTCGTGACGATAATCATTATTATTAGATCAAACATAGCGTACATTACGAAGAACTGACAGGTAAATCACGCTAGAAATATTGTTTGAAATATAATAGTATTGAAAAAGGAAATCAACGCCCCACATATCCATGCACGCATCGCGGTCTTGGTTGCTTACAAAATCGACTTCAACTGAAGGTTTTTCTCCGTGTAACTGGGTCAAGTTACGTCATACCTATATTGAGCTGCCGAGCCCGGGAAAGCCCGACGCAGCTGGGTGTAAACACCGATACCATTTGTTTTCATCACGTGACCAAACAAACTCGCCAGTCGAACCAGGTGTGCGCAGTCACATGACCCGTGCACCAATCTGCATCCACAATCGCTATCATGGGACTAATTTAGACCCGCGTGACTCACGCGCATACCCCGATGTGGACGATACCTGTGACAGTCGTGCGCCCAAATATACACCCTTTGACACACTTAGTTACACAGCTTCAGAGGCCAGATCGTGCCGCTTAGGTCAACAAAGGCCAAAGGTTACTGCGACGCGACTTTGAGATGAGCTTCTCCAAATGTTTAAGGAAAACGTTACGCAATGTTGTGTGTCCAATTAGAAAATATAACATATACGTTAT